GTACTGTAGCTTTCATAATGAGATGTTTTTTATGCTTTGGCTTTGTTGTTGTGTTTGTGCATGTGTGCATGTGTGTGTGTGTGTGTGTGTGTGTTATTTTGGGGAGGAGGTTTCAAGGGCAAGGAGCAGGTATGAGGGAACAGGAAGATAATGAGGGGGACTGGGATGCATCATGTGAAACTCACAAAGTTAAAGTTTTTAGTAAAAACTTAAAAACACACACACACACAGAGAGAGAGAGAGAGAGAGAGAGAGAGAGAGAGAGAGAGAATCTTTGAACCTTTGAATTTGCTAGCTACTAAGGATGAGGACTTGTACTACTCTGTCATTGTAACTTTACCTGACTAATATATTATGATCGTGCAGGTTTGTTATGAGAATTGAGTTTATGCATGCATAGAATTTACGGGCCTGGTTGGTAAATAGTAAGCTCTCCATAAATACCAGTGGTTGTTAATACAAATCCTAGATGATTGAACACTGATACTAATCCCCAGAGGGCTTAAGGTCTTACTGAGGTTGGCATTTATTGCTCCAACATGAACATCCACTCGACTGCTTTTAATAAGAACAGCACACTAGGGCTGGGCTGCTGCATGTTTGCAAAAGGCTTTATTAGTTTCTTTAAGATTTATAAAGCAACTCGGACTTTTTCAGTTGGAAGAGCGCTTAAAGTCCACCTTGCCTATGCTCCACGTGAGGCTTAAGTCCCCTCTCCAACATTCAGACCAAGCCATAGACAATGCCCTAGCGGCTGACCCAAGAATTCTTACTACTGTAAGATTCTTCCTTGGCTCCTGGTGGGGATGTGCTGAGGTGGGGGTTTGGAGAGGACTCAGTTTTCTTTAAGGGGTTGGCTACTGGGTTTGATCATGCTCTAGTGAATATATGGGTAACACAAATTGGTCTCTTTTTTTGTTTTTTTTTTCAGGGGCATGGAAGAGTTCACAAGGGTGGGAGGGTCAGACCTGGGAAGACTGGGAAGTGAGTCTGATAAGAGGATCACATGGTTCAAGAAATTCTGTGCTAAATCGTGATGCCCTAACTCAAAAAAGAAAGGGAGGATGCAAGGACCATCTATCTATCCATCCAGTCCATTCTGATATCCAGTCCTGGCCTTCTACTTGTCCTCACTGCTTATAGCTCTTACCCTGACCTTCTGTTACCTCACCTGTAAATCAAAGAAGTGATAACACCTATTTCATAGCATTGGTTTTAGATTCAATGGAATGTATAGAGCCCAGTACACACAATGAAAGCAATAGATACTGGTTTTCATTCTTATTCCTATGGTAGTTTCAGTGGATTGGGAATAAGAATTGAGACTGTATTTTAGTGGAAGAATGCTTTGCCTAGTGCAAATGAGGCCATAGGTACACTCCCTGTACTGACAAAAACAAAAACACAGAATATTAGGACTAATAAATATCAAGCCAATATTTACAAGTTTAGTAAGTACTGCTAGATAAAAAGTGCAGGGTACTACAGAACAGAACAGGTTTGTGGGTTTAATAGTTCCCTACCAAAAGGCCTCCACTCCAACAGGATAGATACTTGGTTAACAGAAATGAGACTGTCAAGCCTCCCCACACGGAAGTAAGCATGGCCAAAGGATGCAGGACAACGGGAATGATGGAACCCAGGCTCCCGAATGCAAAGTGGGTTCCTGCTTCTAAACCACTGCTTCCTCCAACAGAGAAGATGGGTGGGGACAGAAGAAATCACTGAACGAGACTGTGTCTCACCTCTCCATCGTCCTCACTGTGACGTCAGACTAGCCGAATGGAGCTCAAGGAGTGGGAGGTGATGGGCACAGCCTCATCCAGTGCAAGTCCACAGTTTCCTCAGATGTTGTTTTATGTGGTCTAGTTGCATTTCCTTTCAGAAAAGAGCCTGGGAGGGAAGCTTTCATCTGCTCCTGATTCACGCTGTTCTCTGGCTGCTTCATTGATTGCCCTTCATCTGCCCTGGCAGGAAATGGGATGTTATTAGGGAGAGCCAGCAGCCCTGTGGTGAATACCAGAAATCCCTCAACCTGGTCACAGAGGATATCCCCCTGCCCCCGCTTAATTTTCAATAAAACACAAAAACATCATTCTCAATGGAAAATTACAAAGAGCCTTGCTAAATCCTGTTTAAAATAGTATTTTCTCCTCCTGGCTTAAATTTTGTTTTAATATTCAGTAGAGAAACACTCTCTTTTTTCCTTTAAAAAGATAAACCATTGAGTGGAAGTTCTTTGCCTCCACCAGCAATCCTGAGCTGCATTAACCATAAACTGCATTAACTATAAACTTGTTTTTCAGTCGCTCTCCAGCATTTAGGTACAGGACCAGAGATTCATTAGCCTATTACAGTGACAAAGTCCCCATCAGGTACCCTCACCTACTGGCTCAGTGCCCCCACCTACTCAATGGGGTCACAAAGAAAGCTCTACCTCAGTTGCATACCCATCTCCATGATATATATTCCATGGTGACTTCAGGAAACTGTCATACCTCCCTGAGCCTCAATTGTCTCATCTCTTGTAAGATGGAGCCAATATTAAAAACCTGGTAGGATTCAAGGGAAGACTAAATAAAATAACCACGTATAACAAACTAGGACATGCCGAGCCCAATATAAGCACCCCAAACCAATAACTGTGACAAGTGCAAGCTGTCATGTTCAGTCTTCACACTGAGTATTGGGGGCAGAGGGCAGAACTCAGGTCCTCATGTTTGCAGAGTGAGCCCTTTTACCCTCTGAATCATCTCCCCAGCCCCCAACCCCGTGACTATTCCTAAAGACTCCGTGGAGAGAGCATGAAGCATCTCAGCTGACATTTACGAACAGTGCTAAAATGAGAGGTGCCACTTCCACCAGCAAGGTCAGAGGACTCCTGCGCCTGCTAACCCGGAGAGGTGAGAATTGCAGTAAGAAAACAACAATCACACTGCCACTTGGAAACCTGCCAACTGCTGCAATCAGAGTAAAAATAATTTGAAAGGTAAGCTAAGTGTGAATCAGGTGCACCTCACGGAGGTTCAGAAACTGGAGCTGACCCTCCCTCTTCTCCAAAAGCCCCACCATGCACTGGCTTTACAATGCTGCTCCTACTCAGCTCCTTCCTTATTTGCAGCCACCCCTGCCTCCTGCCTTGTCTTCCACTTTTTCCACTAAGCCGCACGGGTTTGGTATTTGTCATCCTTATTGTCCCTCCCAGTGTTGTGTTCCTGAAAATGACCATGTTCTCGGAATTAACCTACCTCTGCCTAATCCATCTTTACTTCAGACACCATCAAGCTGAACCCTCCAGCTTTGATTCCTCTCTACGTTCGTTCATCCTGGTTCATGGACCACCTTTTCTAAGACACCCTTGGATAAGCCAATCTTTAAGCCATCAACTCAATCACCAAATATTTATTGAGAA